ATTGGTTTCATGTCGTATGACATTGTCTAGAATTTCCAGACCCTCAGTAACAAGTTATGTGTCTCTTTCTTGTTGCCAATTTTACTGGAACTGCCTCAATGAGGGCAGCATTACCCAAAGCAAGTTCTATAGAATGTGGATTACATGAGGAAAAGGGGTCCATGGAGAAATAGGTTGGAGAAGTATGTGTAGCCATCTCTTGGAGATTCACTTTTCCTTAGTAAAGTTTCTGAGAAATTTTGCTGTCAGGAATACATTTAACTTTGTTTTTTAAGCATTTCTAAGACATATTTGATCACAGAACTCCTCTATTTTCCTGGGTTAATGTCTACACACATCCTAAGAATTAGCTGTGGAGAACACTTTTAGGGACATGTGCTTCTTTTTCTACCTTCAAATAAAATTTTGATTGTCATGTTACCATCTGTTACTAGTTTGCATAGATTTTAAAAAACAGGCGATAGCCTCTGAGCTCCTATGGAGCCGAGAACGCCCCTCGCCCTCTAGCATTCGGGACTCCTGGGGCTTTCTCAGATGGGCCTGACTCACCACCCTTCCCTGCGCACCACGCCCTTGCAAACAATGCCCATCCCTCCTCTCTGTGCTCCCGACCCCATGCCAGCCTCCCCTTGGCCCTCTCCACTGGGATGGCCTTTCTCCTCCATGCCCTGTTTCTCCTCCTATGTCTCCATCTCAGGGCTCCGCAGTGGCGTCTACTTGGCTGCCCAAGCAGGGGCTCGTGTCTCTCCACCTCCATCCCCTTGGCACCCAAGGCCTCCTGATCTGGCCTCCTAAAGTTCTATTTCATCTGCTCTCCCTTCTCCACCCTGTGGCGCTGGGGGAGGGGAGGGGCTCCTGTACAGGCCACCACTGCTCTCTCTCCAATGTGCCCACATCTGCCTAAGCCACTGCTCCCACCTGCCATTCTGCACACCCAAGCCCAAGACCTCAGAGATGCAAGTCAGAGCATGTCACTCTCCCACTTGAAACCGCTCTCGTGAGAAAACAGACCCCGGGTGGGGGCATGCAGGGCCCTCATGCCTTCCGCTCCTTGTGGCTCCGTCAGCGTCAGTGTCTCATGTTTCCATCCCTGCCTTCTCCCCTCCAGTCAGACTCGGCCGCGTGCTCTCTCCCCTTCCGCCTGTGAACTGGAAACACCCCCGTGCTGGCCCTTCTCTTGCTCACTCCCTTCCCGCAGCTGAAAAGTCTCCTCCCGCAGTCTAGGGCCCTGACCCTGTACTGAGGCCCGCCATCCCCACCTTTCCCCCACAAGCCTCTGAGCCCACTGTTAGAATGGTTTCCTTGTCTGTCCCTCCACTCAAGAAGCAGTCCCTGAGGACAGAGACCACGTCAGTAACCCAGCACAGCACTTGCCACACAGAAACCCTTCGGAAAGTATTTGTTAGATGGTGAGTTTTGTCATTTGGCAAACGGGTGTGAATTACATGGACAGACTTCCTGCTATTAAACAATTTCTGTATTCCCAGGATAAACCCTATATTCTCGTGTGGGAGTCTCTCTTCATGCATTATTGAATTAAGCTCTTAAAGTCTAAGGATTTTTTACATCTATTTTTAGAAGTGAGACAGCTCTGTACTTTGTCTTGGACATGCTACCTCTGGCAGCTCGAGTGTAGGAATCACACTGGCTATAAAAATAAATTAGTGGATTTCAGAATATATATAAATATGCATATAGGTATAGGTATATATATGGTACGGTATTATCTTTAACAATTCCTTGTAAATGAGTAAGAATGCACTGGCAAAATAGATGCTCTGACTCTCTAGAGGTAATTTTGAGATAACTGGAAATAGTGAAGAATTTGAGTTGCCTCCATGGTTGTGGGACTTACAGTGTTTTCTACGTTTTTTGTAGTTCAGCTTTGACATTTTCTCATTTCCCAGAAAATCCTTGATTTCCCAGGACCTCCAGGTCCCCTGACTGTGAGATCCGCAAATTCTCACCTTCAGATTTTGATTCTCTTCTGCACATGGTGGACTGTGACCACACAGTCCTTCTACCTGCCTGCAACGGTTAAAGAAAACAGAACAGGATGAAGAAACGGCTTTGGGTAGGGACCAGGGAGCAGTTAAAATACACTAGGCTTTGTTCCATGGAGTAATTACCACTATCATCCCTGGTAAGTTTTTAGGCCAAATAAAAGCTGAACTTTCACCACCACTGGTGAGCAATTAACTATATACAGCTTCTGTATTTTTCTCTTTAGCTAATATGGGAGCAACCAGGGGGAAAACACGAGCTGCCACCTGGCACCCAGACCAGTCGTTGGCCTCTTCACGAGGGACAGGAGTCAGCCATCTGTGACTTTCCAGAGACCTGAGCCTGTGCAGGGAGCCAGGACTGCACTGCTGGGCTAGGATCATCCCCAGCCTTCCCTCCCCAGCATCTGCAGCATCTGGACCCAGGCTTGGGGAGCCTGCTGCAGCCCATCCTATCTGAGAAGGCCCAAGTGGGAGTTCTCAGCAACCGCCTAGTGTGGCAACTGCCCTGAACATGATCACTTCTGCCAGGATGAGCACCCTGGTGTGGTTATATTATATATACCCTTTCTCATCTTTTAGTTTGTGCTTTCTCTTTGCCTTTTTTTTTTTCTAGATAAAGTATACCAGATGTTTGCTTTTTCCAAGACGCCTTTTGGATGAATCTATTGTTTCCCCTTTTTCTAATTTTTTAATTTCTGAACTATTTCCTTATTTCTTATAGGTTTTTGGTTGTTGACATTTGTTCTAATATACTGAGTACAATGTAGTATTAACTAGTTTTCATTTTCTCTTGTGTAATCTTGGAAAGAACCTGTGAATGTACCTCTCAAAACAGCTCTGGCTACACACCATAGGTTTTGATCCGTAGTACTCTCGTTTTCATTAGTTTTCCAAATAGTCTGCGATTGCAGCTCCAGTATTCTCCTTCCAAGGAGGTTTAAAACATTTTTCAAAGAGATTGGATTCTTTTCAATTTATATATCCCTTTCTTCCACCCAGTTTTAGGGCATTGAGTCAGAGAAGCTAGTCTGAACAGTTTTTGCTGTGTAAAATTCACTGAAATTTTCTTTAGGGCCTACTGTAATTTTTAAGTGTTCTATGATTCCTCAAAAAGAAGGAATGCCCTTTCTGTAGGGCAATGAAAAAACTGATATAACTACTCAGTTAACTTTATGTATTATATCATTCAAACTTCTATGCCTTTTAATTTGTAATCTGCCAAAGGTCTTGAAAAAGCTTCAGGAGTCTCCCAAAGTTAGGTTTTCACTAATTTGTCCTTTGTTCTGATGGTCTGCTTTGATATATTATGTTCCTTGTCAGGTATGTGAAGGGTCAGGACTGCTGTCCTCACTGCACCCACTTCTGTCACTTTAGAGTGACATGCTTCCCATGGTAGGAGAGTGGGCTCAAGGTCCACTCTGTTCCTGGAATTGTCCTGCCACATGAGTCGTTCACTGTCATTTGGAGGCTTTGTAAGTTGTGTGCAGTTCAATTTTATTTTTTGAGACTGAGAGTCTCTGCCTTTGAGCAGAGGAGCTAACCCTTTAATAATTACCATGTCTGATATGCTTGATTTTATTATAATTTGATTTTCTAAATACTGAGAGAGGCCAGACCATGAACTGGAGACTTTAGTGCCCAGGTGAGAAGCCCAACTCCCAAGGGACCACATGACATGGACACTCACTCAGCATGGCCCTGAACCACATTAAGCCTCATTGTCCATAACTGAGAAATGGGGATTGTCACAGCTCCACCTCCCCATCTGTCCCTGGCTGAAGTTAGCTAATTTGTGGAAAGTGCTTCTGAGCTGCCTGGCATAAGCACTTGCTCAGTCCCTGCAGGCTGGCACCACAGGGTCCTCTCTTCCTCACTGTCTCTCCTTTTGAGGCACCTCCTTGTCTTTCCAGACCAGGTCACCAACTCTGGGGGCTTTCCGCCCCTGCTGCACAGACCCTCCACACTGCTAGGAAAGAGGCTTCCAAGTTTAACAGCAAGAGGAGGTAGGAAGGGCAAGATAGCTCAGTCAGAGCAGAAGCTCTGTGGCATGAGAAGAGGAGGGTGTGGGAAGACAACACAAGCAGGTCAGTAGTGCAGCATGGAGAATATAGTCAATGGTTCTGTAACATCTTCCTGTGCTGACAGATCATAGCCACACTAAAGGGGGTGAGAATTTAATAATGCAGACAACTGCTGAACCACTGTGTTGTATACTTGAAACCAATATAAGATTGTATATCAATGATACTTCAGTTAAAAAAAATTTTTTTTTAAAAGAAAACACAGGCAGATGTCAAAGGAAGGGGTGTATTAACAACCTCATGCTCTGTGCTTTGATATTTGGGGTCTTGCAGACCCTAGAAGAACTGCCCCTCCCAGGGTTAGCCGATTCCCAGGGAGAGTGGGCAGGTCACTCTGCAGGGTACTTTTCAAATGCAAACCAGCCCACACAGAGTCCACACTCCTAACCATCTCCTTCATTGGACTCTCACACTCTGACCACCATCCCCTGCCCGAATTCACCCCCTGTGGAGTCACATACCAGACAACCAGGGGCAGCCCCCCTGTCCCAGAGCCCACTGGTCTCACTTGCACCAGCCAGTCCTAAGCCTGCTTTTCCTGTCTCACCCGGTCCTTCTTGCACAGACAACAGTTGTCCCCTCTCCCTCTGCCTTCTGACCCACCCTGGTGCTTCCCCGTGTGACCCTGCATGGCCACAATCTCTGAGTAATAAACCATCTTTTCCATGGTAGTCACCTCTGATCTGTAGCTTCACCACACCTGAGTAATAAAAGAACCTTCGTTGTCAAACAAGGGGAGAGGGTGGATGGGGAACAGAAATGTAGGGATGGCTCACAAGTTTCTCATTTCCTCCAGGAGCCACAGGGCTGCTGGGGAGAGGCAGGGCAGCTTGGGCAAACATAAACACTTTCAAAGGAGACCCGAGCCTCACTGGATGGCCCCCTTCATCCCACAGTGGGATGACCTGCTCACCTTCCCGTAGCTCAGCAGGATTATCCGCACCAGGACGACATTGATGTGGGCCCCCAAGGACTCGTCGTGATAGATTTCATTGACCTGAAAGACAATGGAGGAGGCGTCAGCAGGAGCCACAGGCCAAGGACCAGCCCTGGCTTTGCAAATGGCATCACCACCCAACCAGCCCTGGGCCAGCGCCCTGGGACGCCTGCCTCCACTCTTGCCCTTCCTACATTGTCCACCCAGACATAACTGTCAACTCTGAATCCATCCCTTCCTTTCCCTCTGCACCACCTGCCCCTCTTACCAGCCCCTCCTCAGCACCCCCTCCTGCCAGCACAGGGATCCTTCACCGGGAGCCTGAATTTGGGGGAGACAGTGACCCATTTGCTCTGGCTTCAAACACCAACATGTTTTTTCCTTCAAGGGTGACCATGGGTGCCAAACCCCAGTGGTGGGGATGGTGCTGGACTGTCACCTGCAGAAACCCCTCTAAGTCCTCTAAGTCGCTGCTGATGGCTATGAAGTGTTAGCAACACTCCTCATAGTTTGCAAAAGGGGGTTAGTGTAGACCCACAGCTGGATCTAATTTTTAATGTGTTAATGAGAACAAGTATTACTATGTCACAAAGGCTCTTTGTGTTCTGATAACTGCAGCTCATCTCATTGGCTTTCTTTGTATTTTTATTGTTTTTATTTTCATGTATATTATTTTTTGCATTTACAAACATTCTGGGCAGGCATCCGTGGGCTTTGCCAGATATCAAACAGGTATAAGAAGGCCCAAGAAGGGTGAAGGAGCCCCAGTTCTCTGTGGCATGGTCGGCATGATCTTCCAGAAACATGGGTGCAGTTAACCCTGGGCTCGAGGCTAATAGAGCCTTCCCTCCCACTGACCCCACCCCCACACTCTCAGGCCCCCTCCCTGCCACCTCTTTCATTGGCTGACCAAACCCTGCTCCTCCTGAGGCCCAGCTTTGAGGTCATTTCCTCCCAGAAGCACCTCCCGAGGTCTGATCGGCTTGAGTGCCAGTATCCATCACATCTTGAGCTTTCTGTATAGCTCGGTGGACTGTGAGCTGCACAGCCACCTGTATTTTTCCCTGTGTGTCCCCAGCACCCAGGACACAGAGAATATAGCAGGAACTCAGGAAACACTGTTTGAAAGAATCAGTCCCTTCATACCATCACTGAGCAGAGAGTCATGAACTGGCCATGCACACCCCTTCCTGGTGAGCGAACCAAGCCCAGAGGCTACTGACCAGCCCTTTGTGAGGGCCTCCCAGAGCCCTCTCAAGTCAGCACTGTACCCCCTCTGAACCCCAACTTTTAGAATCTCTATCTGAGCAACATTAATTGCTACCTTAATAGGAGAAAAAAAACCCCTCTCAGGGAAATCTTGAGAGTTCCCATGGAAAACCAAATCATGATGGATGGAACGGGCCGACACCTGGGGCAGGTGAGACAGGGAGCCTGGTGGCCAGCCAGTGTTTCTGTGGGTCAAGACAGCACCAATGGGGGTCAGAGTGTCTCCTGCCCAGCAAACCCTCCTTGTGTTATAAGGTGTTTCTCACCCCGACATGGCTTTCCAGAACTGACAGACCTTCAGGTGCATGGGTGGTCACCCTGTCTCAGGGCAGGAGTCTGGAAAGGGTGGGGCGTGGCCCCTGCACCTACCTGGCGGGCATCTGCCAGGTGCCCACCCAGCTGTGCACAGACAGCAAGTTTCCAGCCCTCTGTAAACAAGGACAACACTCCTCATCTAACAAAGCTTTGTGAGAGCTAAATTTCCACACCTATGCAATGGAATAATGGTGGAAACAGTCGAATGCTGTATTTACCACATAGCCCCACAGCGCCCCCATGAGGTCATGGGGGAAGGATGCACAGTCCCTAAACACAGATGTCCTTGCCCAGTTTTGAGGGCCAGACTAGTTATTTTTAGTCTACAGTGAGACAAAAGCCCTAAAGCCAGTTTTTCTTTAGAGAGAAAGGGTTTTTTTTGTCTCCAAACTATTGCTTTATCTCTCACGAGCAAAGCCTGGCTAATCAGGCTCCTGGAGTTCGACAGTGTGGAAAAGAAGGCTGTGACACAGGGAGGTCCTTGGCAGCTGGGGGTGGGGTGGGCACAGGAGAGAGAAGAGGGCCGGAAAAGACCCGGCGAATGGCTAGGCCTCACGAAGCCCTCAAGTAGGGCGAGCAGAGAGGAAGTGACCACCTGATGCTGGGAGGAGCATGAGAGCAGGAAGAGCTGGAATCTGCTGTCCAGGACCTGGGAGGGGGCAGCTTCACACCAAGAAGGTGTGGCTTCCAAAAGACTACCCAGTGGGCAGGGTAGGTGGGGGCGAGCTCGCAGGTTTGCCTGGGCTGGGGGCACTGCTGAGCCTTAGCCTGGAGGGTCACTGCCCAGGGCAGCCTGCTGGGACAGGTGTGAACAGATGCAGGGTGGCCAAGGGAGGAGGAAGAGGGGACAAACACCCTGCTATGGACTGAATCGAGTATCCCCAAATTCACGTGCTAAAGCCCTTGCCCCCAGCATAATGGTGTTGGAGGCAGGTCCTTGGGGAGGCGATCAGGGTTAGAGGAGGTCACGAGGGTGGCCCATCGTGATGGGGTGAGTGCCCTTACAGGAAGAGATGCCAGCGAGCTTGCTCCCCCTCCCTTGTTGCCTCTCACCCCCCACCCCCAACATGGAAGGACACAGCAAGAAGGTAGCTGTGGCTGCAAACTGGGAAGAGAACCCCCACTAGGAACCAAATTGGCAGCTTCTGGAGCTTGGGCTTCCTGCTTCCAGAACTGTAAGAAATAAACGTGTGTTGTTCAGGTCCCTCAGGCATAACTGGTGATTTGCCTGAGCAGGCCTGAGCTAAGACAAGCCAGCAGGCAGAGCTTAACCTCTGACCTGACCATCCCCCCAGAGGCTTGTCAATGGGAGCCGCCACTTACATTTTCCCTTCTCCCCTAGGATGAGGGAGGCATCAGATACAGGATTAAACAAAGCTGGTATGTAAATGCCATCCCGCCACACATATAGCCCCCAGCCGTGACAAGGGCCCCTCGCGGGTTCTCAGTGGGACTCCCCAGGCTGAGCCACCTCTGGCCTCTTGCAGAGCCCACCACCCACGGGGGTCTGGAACGGCCTGGCCTGGCCTCTCCATCTCCACGGCCCTCTGCAGACACCTGGAAGACCCAGCAGAGAGCTGCTTGCCCTGCCTCATGCCAGGTATCCGGCTGGCCCTCCGGACTCAGCAGTGAACAGCAGAGCTGGCCCTGTCAGGAGGAGGAGAGTGATAGCTGGGGATAACAAGAACTGGGTCTGTGATCACAGGATGCTCATGAGGGCTCCAAGGGACTAGTAGGGAACCCAGAGGGCATATTAACAGACGGGAAACCTAGAGGACATTTTCATGGCATGTCTGCCTCATGGGGGAGTGTTGAGCCTCCTAAGGATGCGGCATCTTGTAAGAATGAGTTTAGTCAGCAAAGCGAGGACCAGAACAGTGCTTCCTGCAGAGGGCAATGTGAGTAAATGTCCTGGGGCCAGAGCAATGAGGTGTATTCCAAGCACAGAGGGACTGAAGCAGGAGAAAGGGCCCCTGCAGCCAGACCACACAGGTACTCAGGTCCAGGGAAGGCTTTCGATTCTATTCAAAGAGCAAAGGAGGATGTGGGGCCCTGACGGGGACAACAACTTTGCGTTTTAGGAAGATTACTCTGGCTCCCTTATGGAAAGGAGATAGAAGTGCCCACTGAAGCACTGGCAATGTGGGAGCGTGGGGCTCAGGACTGATGTGAGGAATGAGGTGGCCTGGAGTGGGGGCAGCTCCCACACAGCCCTGGATGCCCTACAGCCTGCCTGCTCAGCCTCGTGCCCCCACTGCAAATGGAGTGAGCCCATCTTTGCTCTGTGTTGATGTGGGAAGGAGAAATGTCCTGGGGTCTGCCTGCTCTTCTCAGGGCTGGTCTGGCCTGCACCTCAAGGGGACCTGCCCTGGTGCACAAGGTGAGGCTCTGTCCCTGTGGTGCTACAATCTGTCTGAAGACAGGGAACCTGTCTTGTTATTTGGAAGGCATTCAGAGCTGACTACACAGAATTACCTCATTTTATGCTCCCTACAGCCCTTGAGGCCAGAAGGAGGGGCGGGGGTCAGCCCCCCTGAGCAATGGGGATTGATTGAAAGCACCCCAGTGCCTTCAGGATCAGCCCCAGCCCCTCGGCCCAGCACTGGGAGACCTCAAGAGCCCAGCCCTGCCTGGCGTCTCTGTGAACCACTTGAGCTATGCTGCTCCAGGGGCCCTCAGTCCCGACAGCTCGCTTCTCCAAAGCCTGGCTGCCCTCTCCTGCTGCTTGTGCAGTGGCTCAGGCCTGGAATTTCCTCTCCCCTTCTCCAGCCCCTGAATTCTTGAAATACCCGGAGAGCATTTGGAAAAAGAAAGTCACACTGATAAAGGCTTTTCAAAGAAGGGAGACAGTTATCCCCCTGCTTAGCACCCCTGCTTACATCCCCACCCCAAAGCCCACCCCCTGCAGTTGGAATAAAATTGAAGCCATGCTGTGTTTCCTGTGGTCCAGCTCCAGGTCCCTGTGCTGGGAGCCCATCCGTACCTCAGCACCTTTGCACTTGCTGTGCCCTCTGGCTTCTCATGCTCATCACCCAGCACAACTGTCCCTTGCCCAATGGGAACCCCTAAAGCACCCCAAAAAGTAGTTGCTCCCAGACTGGACCATGCACTTGATCCTGGATGCACCTCTCCTCCTTGTTCACCACCATGTCCCCCCAAGCAGTATTGAGCACATAGTAGGTGCTCAGTAAAGGCTATTGAATGAATGAATGAGTGACTAACTTTGGAGAATGTGAAACAACAGGAAACTGGCAGCAGGGTCCATGATGCCCTGTAATGACTGCAGCCCCCGGCTAGGTGCCCAGATGCTTCCCCACCCCACCCCCACCCTGCCCTCCCCAGGCCTGTGTACTGGGGAGCAGTACTTCTGCGCTGCCCCGACCCGCAGCGGGAGGGGAAACCAGGTCAATGTCCTTGAGCCCTGCCTTGAGAAATTGATCCTGGAATCTTTAAACCTTGGGGGAAAATGTTCAAAG